GACACGGGGGGCATCCCAACCAATTTACTAAAAAAACAGACATAGCCCCACTCCACAAGGGGGCCAGTAAAGCAACAGCAAAGAACTACAGACCAATAGCACTAACACCCATATCATAAAAATCTTTGAAAGGGTCCTAAGAAGCAAGATCACCACCCATCTAAAACCCATCAGTTACACAACCCAGGCAAAAATGGGTTTAGAACAGGTCGCTTCCCTGTCTGTCTCAACTATTGAATCACTACGACAAGGCCTAAATGCACTAGAAGACAAAAAGAATGCAGATTTTAATAAATACAGACTTTGCAAAAGCCTTCGACAAGTGGGGACCAAAGGCGTAAATAGCGCACAAAATGCGTGCTAAAAAGGGAAAAACAGAAAGTCAGTCGATGGATCTAATAATTTTCCTCACTAACAGAACACAGAGAGTATCGTCAACAGAGTAAAGTCCCCAGGCAGCTAAAGGTGAAAAGCTCTGTATCCACAAGGCACAGTACTCGCTCCCCATCTTGTTCCTCACCTCATATCCGACATAGACAAGGATGTCAGCCACAGCACCGTGTCTTCCTTTGCAGATGACACCCGAAAAAGCATGACAGTGTCTTCCATTGCAGACACTGCAAGGCTCCAGGCGGACATCAACCAAATCTTTCAAATGGGCTGCAGAAAAAAATATAAGTTTCAACGATGAAAATTTCAAATTACTCCCGATATGGAAACATGAGGAAATTTTAAACTTCCCTCAGAGTACAAAACAAATTCTGGCCACAAAATAAAGCGAAACGCCAACGGCAAAGACCTGGGAGTGATCATGTCGGAGACTCCCCTTGAAGGACCAAAACTTTGTATAAGGACTCAAAAATGCAGGGGAAAAAACCGTCAAACGGGGCCCAAAGCCCATGGGGTTTACCACGGGCCTTGATGTCTACAGGCTGGAATGGGAAACCAACACCACCTTTCCGGATAAGCCGCCTGTGTCGAACTTTTGGCGGCAAACCGAGAACACCTTTAAGGGTTGGTACCTTTGAGGTGTCCAACCGGGGCCCCGGGGCGGGGGAGGAACTATTATAAACCCGGAAAATCCAAGGGTATAATTTCAAGGAAAACTCCCAAGGCAAAACTCAGGAAACCCCATCCAATAAAGGGGGGGTTTAAACTCAGTAAGCCAGGTAAACCTCAAAAAGTTAAACCCGGGGTTTAAACCTCCAGGTAAACCCAGGAAACTCCAAAGGTAAACCCAGTAACTCCGGGTTAACTCCAGGAAACCCTAAACCAGGTAAACCTCCAGGTAACCAGGTAAACTCCAGGAAACCCGGTAAACCCCAGGTAAACCCAGGAAACTCCAGGTAAACTCCAGGTAAACCCAGGTAAACTCCAGGAAAACTCCGGGTAAACTCCAGGTAAACTCCAGGTAAACTCCAGGTAAACTCCAGGTAAACTCCAGGTAAACTCCAGGTATACTCCGGGTAAACTCCAGGTAAACTCCAGGTAAAACTCCAGGAAAACTCCAGATAAACTCCAGGTAAACTCCAGTAAACTCCAGAAAAAACTCCAGGTAAACTCCAGGTAAACTCCAGGAAAAACCCCAGGTAAACCCAGGTAAACTCCGGGTAAACTCCAGGAAAACCCGGGTAAACTCCGGGTAAACCCAGGTAAACTCCAGGTAAACTCCAGGTAAACTCCAGGTAAACTCCAGGTAAACTCCAGGTAAACTCCAGGTAAACTCCAGGTAAACTCCAGGTAAACTCCATTTAAACTCCAAGTATACTCCAGGTAAACTCCAGGTAAACTCCAGGTAAACTCCAGGTAAACTCCAGGTAAACTCCAGGTAAACTCCAGGTAAACTCCAGGTAAACTCCAGGTAAACTCCGGTAAACTCCAGGAAAACTCCAGGTAAACACCCGGGTAAACTCCGGGTAAACTCCAGGTAAACTCCAGGTAAACTCCAGGTAAACTCCAGGTAAACTCCAGGTAAACTCCAGGTAAACTCCAGGTAAACTCCAGGTAAACTCCAGGTTATCCTGGGTGGCTAACCCTCTGGGGTTATCCGTTTCCTGGTAACTGTTTCTCGTTAATCCGCACCAGCAGCAGTCTCTCCACATCCTCGAGTAGTACAGCTGGCGGTGGTGCAGCAGACGGTGGTGCAACAGCAGCTGACTGTGGTGCAGCAGCAGCTGACCGTGTTGCAGCAGCAGCTGACTGTGGTGCAGCAGCAGCTAACCGTGGTGCAGCAGCAGCTGACTGTGGTGCAGCAGCAGCTAACCGTGGTGCAGCAGCAGCTGACTGGTGCAGCAGCAGCTAACCGTGGTGCAGCAGCAGCTAACCGTGGTGCAGCAGCTAACCGTGGTGCAGCAGCAGCAGCTGACCGTGGTACAACAGTACTTCTCACTCTTTACCACAGGGTTGGCACTAGAAGCTTATTTAGCACTTACAAGCACTAAAAACAATGGAATACAAAATTTATCGAATGTATGCGTGCAACCATCCGCCCTGGCTTGTAAACGATGAACACTAGCTGAGCTGAGGCGCTTTGGCCAGACGGACGCATTCGGGACGAATGATGCAAGTCGAGTTTTTCTTCTTAGGTTGGGGAAATTTTTTTTATGCTGAAACACTTCATAAGTCGATTTTATCATTAGATGCCTTCGTTAGTTGAGGGTCCACTGTATTCCAATTTCAAAATAGGTTCCAGAATAAACAATGCAGGTATTCCTGGCACTAAAATAACATTTCCTCTGTTTATTAATGACGTTTCCAGGCATTGCAAATTCCATTTTGAATTTTTATTCACAATGAATTTACGTTCACACCAAAAAATAGAAGATTTACCGCTATGGAATACTGTAATAATTGTATAAAAATATCAGCGCATTCATGAACATACATTAGACCCACCAGCTGACGTGTACTGGGAGCATGACATCATTTGTTTACTCTTGAACATTGGCAAAAATCAAACATTTTCCCTACTTTGAGCTCAGTTTCAAGCCATTTTCAGTACTAAAACCAATCAAAATCATTTCTATTTCTGTAATATAACTTCCATTCTATCAAATGAGACCAAGAAACCGCAAATGCATCTGTAAAAAACATACAAAAAAAAAAAAAAAACCCACAAAGTCACTGTTTTAATCCAAAAATATGGTCTTTCTTTTTCTCATTATGCATTGCGTGCTGCAGGATTTGTTTTATGTGGTGCACACTTGCCACACAGACAAATGTATTCTCTCATATCTAGGTCCAAATTTACTGCTCACAGCTTATCTGAGTGAGCTGAACTCATGGCGTAGAACTACGGCTTGGACCCTGGCTTCAAAGCCATAAAACTACGGGATGGACCCTCAAAGTGTTAAATTCAGTTGTACCTCTCACAGAAAACTTTTGGGACACCTGGGATTCAACATGACCAAACAGGCACCTCACTTGTCCACTTCACCACTAAATACTTCATAAGCTCTTCCATACTAAGTTTATCTAACTTTAATATGCCCACTGCATGGAAAAAATCAATAAAGCTTCTATATAACAGAATTTGTGCCTTGTCACTGTCTAGACATGACAGACAACTATAAGAGCTAAAAATGGCTTACACAACTAAAAAAAAATGTGAGGTATAGTGAAAGGAAGATACTCATCCCCTCACTGGCTGATAGAAAAAGAAGTGTTAGTTGCTGGGGAAAAAAAAATACCAACAACAAAGAGAAAAAGAGGCCACAGTTGTAAATCGAGAAAAAAAAAAAAGACCCTAGAGCTAAAAGGATACTCGGTTTTCATCCACTGGTGAAAAAATAAATGGATTAATAGTAAAATTAGCAAGTGATACAATCAATGGAAATTTTAACAAATTATATGATGGCCTACTGAGGATGGAGCACCACAATTACAGCTCTTCCCTTATAGCTAAAAGTACAATATGTAATTATACAAGTCACTGCAGAAAGTTAGACCTGAGAAACAGTATGGTGCTTGGCATGTTTTACTCACTGTGTGACTAAGTATCAGGGAATGAGTTCTCATCAACTTGTGCTCAAGTTACTTACTATGATTTTACTTTTATATTTGACAAGTTTGAATCTACAAAGAAAAACACTGAAAAAACTCCCCACAGGTGGGAAGGAATGGGTGCCCATCAATAGCCAATTAAAGGTTAACAGCGAGATAATAAAATGGGGGCGAAATATTACGAGGGTAAAGAAATTAAAACTTTCATGCCACCACCTTTTCAATAATTCAAACAATTATGGCAGAACAAAAGCAGCAGATCATGCCTTTATTTGGACAAAGTTTCACAGGTGAATTTTTTCAAGTCTGGTCTATCTTTATTATACCTGTCAGCATCTTTTTGTTTTTTAAACTAACTCAGTCTTGCAGACCCTGCAAGATTTATACACCCTCAGTCAAGCTATTCTTCTCCACCCTTTCAAAATGACCAGACTATCTTAACAACCCTTCCCTCACCCTCTGAATTTAACAACTTTCATACCCTCTTCCCCCAGGTCAAATTTGTACATCCTTATTCTCAAAATATTCACATCACGCACTAATATTAAATACGACTTCTTCACTATCTCTAGCCTCCTCTTCAATACCACGTTTACAGAGCATGTTTCACATCCCATAAAAGAGCATGACCCAACTAGTCTGTAAAATCCTCCTCTTTTTTTTTCCCTCAAATACAGATGCCTCAACACTTAAGGGGCAGGCAGGGGGAGGGGGGGGTAGACAGGTTGTCTATCCTGTTTCACCTCATTTTTCGTAGATCCATCTGCTGATGCATTTACTCACAAAAATTTGAATACATTTACTTCCAAGACTTTTAGTCCTTGCTACTATAAAGAAATACAAAAATCACTCAAGTTGTGCACTCTTGCAAGAGAGATTTTATTAAATAAACAATTCCCCTAATACGTAAAGCTTTAATTAAATTTCGCAATCTTTGTGAACCTCACCTTCTGTTATGTCCAATCTTGATGTTGAGTTAATGTATACGTAAAACTTACTTGTTAATGAAAACTTCGAGTCCTTTGCGTCGATCCTCAATAAATTCTTCTTCATAAATGCCATCATCTCCTCTGAATGGTAACTGCCTCTTTAATGCTTTTCCAGGAAGTGGTGGAACCACAATCTGATACCAGATATTTTACATTACCAAGAATTGAAAGGAAATCAACAAAATCACACATCTTTCTGTCCTTTAAATCTTGAATAACAGAAAAATAATCACAAATCCAATAGTCTCTGAAACGTAGCAAATTACAGGTTTGTATATACATACTGTATATATATACTATTTATACAAAGACTCCCACATAGTGAACAAGTTACATTCTTAAAAATAAGCAAAAAATTAAATCAAGATATGCTTAAAAAAGATTTCATACCTTACACTAGTTGCTCTTGCCTATTGGCCCATGCAAGGTAGGTTCTTCCCAAACCTACCCAATCTTTCATTTGTCTCCATTAGAAAAGAGAAGCACTGGAGCAAACCTACTGGCTCATGTTAAGCAGGTCCTCCAAAAACCCAACCCAGGGATGGAGTGAGGAAGTGGGAAATGAATAGTAAGAGAAAGGAAGGGGGTGAAGAGAGACTGGGAAGGGGAGGTAGTAAAGAGAGCAAGGTAACTGGATGCTCACATGACCTAGTTTGGAATGACCCAGATACTCTGAGTAATGTATTTACGACAAGTGTTGCCAATGTTTCCAATGATTGTTGGACCATCTTCTTTACCTGGTAATGTGGAGATCCAATGAAATACTGTAGTATTTAATTAAACTTGACCTACTTTAGTATGCATTAATAAGAACAATACAAAATGCCAGACTATTAGTGAACAGCATACGAACAATCCGAGATGCCTACAGCTTCTACAGCAAGTTAAACAGTATCACAAGAACCAACCTTGCTGTCCCTTTCAAGTTCATTTCTTAGCCATTCAAAATCACTGTACCTCCTCCGCACACTTGATTCCTTCACCTTAAACACTGGTAAGTTGGTCTGAAAATTTTAAATTTTATTTGTTAAAAATTTTTCAAAATGTAACAGTAATTTTTAACTTTCATAACTTCTTTGTATGCTCATAAGAAATATTTTATTTTAAAATACGAAATCTAAAATTAGTACAATAAAGAAAAACCATGAAAACTACTAGTGAAAACTAAAGGACGAGTAGACCCCCCATATCCATGGGGATACATTCCAAGACCTACCGTAGATACCCGAAACCACAGATAGTAGCAAACCCTATACAGAAGTTGTTTTTTGTTTACATACATACCTATGATAAAGTTTGATAAATTACACACAATAAGTGGAGAATTAGCACTTTTTCACTTATGGGAAGCACTTCGTGACTTCTTTTAGGTACTGAAGATCTGCCATCATCACTAATTTTGTTTTGGTACCATTAATAATAATAATAGTAATAATAATCCTACGTAGTAGGCTGGTAGACAGCAACCGCCCAGGGAGGTACTACCGTCCTGCCAAGTGAGTGTAAAACGAAAGCCTGTAATTGTTTTACATGATGGTAGGATTGCTGGTGTCCTTTTTTCTGTCTCGTGAACATGCAAGATTTCAGGTACGTCTTGCTACTTCTACTTACACTTAGGTCACACTACACATACATGTACAAGCATATATATACACACCCCTCTGGGTTTTCTTCTATTTTCTTTCTAGTTCTTATTCTTGTTTATTTCCTCTTATCTCCATGGGGAAGTGGAACAGAATTCTTCCTCCGTAAGCCATGTGTTGTAAGAGGCGACTAAAATGCCGGGAGCAAGGGGCTAGTAACCCCTTCTCCATGCTAGGTGTTCTAGTGGTACACTCTGTAATCATTATTTAACTACATGTAAACCACACAATAACCAAATTCTGTAAACTCAGCATTGTAATCCTTATAGAGAATAAACTTTGAATATATTACTAAATGTAAAAGGAGAAACTTTCGTTTTTCCTTTTGGGCCACCCCGCCTTGGTGGGATACGGCCGGTGTGTTGAAAGAAATAATAATAATAATAATAATAATAATAATAATAATAATAATAATAATAATAATAAATAAATAATAAATAATAATAAATAAATAATAAATAATAATAAATAATAATAAATAATAATAAATATAGTCGGACTTGAGTCCTGGAAATGGGAAGTACAATGCCTGCACTTTAAAGGAGGGGTTTGGGATATTGGCAGTTTGGAGGGATATGTTGTGTATCTTTATATGTGTATGCTTCTAGACTGTTGTATTCTGAGCACCTCTGCAAAAACAGTGATAATGTGCAAGTGTGGTGAAAGTGTTGAATGATGATGAAAGTATTTTCTTTTTGGGGATTTTCTTTATTTTTTGGGTCACCCTGCCTCGGTGGGAGACGGCCGACTTGTTGAGAGAAAAAAAAAAAAAAAAAAAAAAAAAAAAAAATAATAAATAATAATAATAAATGGTATACAGTCCTAGCTGACATCAATGACATACTACTACAGTGGTCCCTCGTTTATCGTAATTAATCCGTTCCTGAAGCCGTTACTATAAACGAAATTTACGATTTACGAATCAATTTTCCCCATAAGAAATAATGTAAATACAATTAATCCGTTTCTGACACCCAGAAGTATTAAAACAAAAAAAATTTTTACATGAAATATACATGTAGTACATAAACAATACAATGGGAAATGATGAATGAAACATTAACAGCATAACACTTACCTTTATTGGAGATTCTTCTTAGTGTATGGGAGACTGGAGGAGGAGAGAGTGGATTGTTTATAGTTTGGAAGGGGAATCCCCTTCCATCAACACCTCAGTTACCATTTGCTTTTCTGGGGTTGCTTCTCTTCTCTTCTCTGTTTCTTAATGCCACTAGGACCACCTTGAGAGTCACTGGAGTCCTGTCTCGCAAAATAACTGTGGAGAGAGCTCTGTTTCTGGCGTCTCTAACACTTCCCTAAAATGGCCCAAGACTTTGTCACTGTACATGTTGCCAACCTGGCTTTCAACAACCTTGTTAGGGTGATGTTTCTCCATAAAGCTTTCCATCTTACCCCACATAGTAAAAATCTCTAATTTCTGAAGAAGGCACTTTCTTCCATCTCTCTTCCTCCTCCTCTGCAGGAAGATTTTGAGCTGTGATGTGTTGCTCTTCCTGCTGAAGCTCTTGCAGCTCCTCATAACATTGTTTTTCCTGAACACTCTGGGATTTTCAGAATGGTACACTAATAATGGCTTCACTTTGAAATCCCCACTAGCATTAGCACAGAACATTAGCGTCAGCCTGTCTTTCATAGGCTTGTGTCCTGGCATTGCCTTTTCCTCTTGTGTAATGAAGGTCCTCTTTGGCATTTTCTTCCAAAAGAGGCCTGTTTCGTCACAATTGAACACTTTTTCAGGTTTCAATCCTTCAGCCTCTATGTACTCCTGGAATTTATGCACATATTTTTCAGCCGCCTTGTGGTCCGAACTGGCAGCCTCACCATGCCTTACCACACTGTGTATGCCAGTACGGTTCTTAAATCTCTCAAACCAGCCTTTGCTGGCCTTAAATTCACTCGCATCACCACTATTTGCAGACAATTTCTTTACCAAATCTTCATGCAACTGCCTAGCCTTTTCACAAATAATCCAAGTCATAAGAGTATCTCCTGCTAATTGTTTCTCATTTATCCACACCAATATTAACTTCTCAACCTCTTCCAGTACTCGTGATCTCATTTTTGTCAGCATAGTTACTCCCTTTGCAACAACAGCGTCCTTTATTTCCTTTTTCTTGGCCACTATGGAACATAAGGTTGTGTAGGGTTTCTTATACATCCTGGACAGTTCGGCCACACTTGTACCACTTTCATATTGTTCAATGATGGTTTTCTTAAATTCAATCGTATTTCTCACCTTCTTTACCACAGGCTTGGCACTAGGAGCTTTCTTTGGAGCCATGGTAGCTTATTTAGTACTTGCAAGCACTAAAATAAATGGAATATTATGAAATATTTCGCTGGAGCACATGAGGGGACCTTCGCTCACTGGTAAACAATGCCAGACTGACTGCCGCCCTGGCTCACGCCGTGGGTACGCGTCCCGGACGAACTACGACTCGCGAGTCAACCCATGAAAAGCGAGTCCATGTTTATACGAAAATACCCCTATGATTGGCGAAATTTACAATTGCTGGGAACTACGAAAAGTGGGGGACCACTGTATATAGAAAGCCCCTCGTTATGCTGAGCGTTTCGGGCACATTAGGTCAGTGTCCCAGGATGCGACCCACACCAGTCAACTAACACCCAGGTACCCATTTTACTGATGGGGAACATAGACAACAGGTGGAAAGAAACACGCCCAATGCTTCCACTCTGGCTGGGAATCGAACCCAGGCCCTCGCCATGTGAAGCAAGAGCGTTAGCCGTGCCTTAGTACTACTGGCCATGCCTTAGTACTACTCCATGAGCTCAGCTCACTCAGATAAGCTGTGAGCACTAAATTTGGGCCTAGATATGAGAATGGGTCTATACAATATGTGTGCACCATATAAAAAAAAATCCTGCAGCATGCAGTGCACGAGGAAAAAAACTGACCATACTTTTATTTTTTGCAGTGTATTTTTGTAAAGTTTTTATTGCTGTATTCTTGGTTTCTTGGTCTCATTTGACAGAATGGAAGATATGTGACAGAAATAGAGATGATTTTGATTGGTTTCAGGACTGAAAATAGCTTAAAATTGAGCTTAAAGTAGCAGAAATGTTTGATTTTTGCCAATATTCAAGTGTAAACAAATCACTCCACTCGTCCAATATACGTGCAACTGGCGGGTCTAACATGCATTGACGAATGCATTATTATTATTTTACAATTATTACAATATTGCATAACAGTAAATCTATTTTTTGTGTGAATAAAAATTGTGTAAATAAAAATGGAATTGATGTGTAAAGCCGGGGAACATAACTAATGAACAGACGAAATGTTATTTTAGTGCCAGACATGCCTGCATTGTTTATTCTGCACCCTATTTTGAAATTAGATTTTGAAATGTGTGTGAAATTGGCCAAATTACCAATTTCTGATCACTTTATTGGGTAGTTGAAATAGTTGACTGGGTGATTTCTTGTGCTCAATCGATACAATGAAAGATAGTGAAACAGCTAAGAATCTGGTTGGCTGGAACAATGTAAATGGCCTAAAATGGGACTCAACACGGGCAAAAATCGCCGATGCATAAATATCGCTGACACGGCAAAATGAAAATGTTTATTTCCTTGCAAAGCTAATGTGTGGTTTACATAATTTAAGTTGTGCAAAAGTGCAATTTCATCAATTTTCCATCAAATTTCATATTTTATTACCTTCAGAAAAAGATTCTCTACCTTTTCATAGGTAAAAATAACTTTGTTTTTTTTTTTAAAGTCTACGTAGTGTAGTGTATGTTTTGCTCCATTATTGTTCAAATTTCATTGTACAATCTCTTAGTATTTAAATAATCAACTACCTCATTTTGTGATTTTACTAGTAAGCATAAATCACCTTATGTGATTTTCTTATTTACTATTGTTCGCTTGAACATTAGCTGAATTGATACTTTCTCTGTCCATATTACTACCTCATATTTTTTTTAAATACTACAATTGATATTACTTACTAAAATTAATAAATATCATTTTTACTAAAATTTCAATTTACTCTTAACATTTTTGACATTTAATAACCATTACTTGACTAATTACCTTTACCTGTTTTAATACCACATTTACTATCCTAGATTACTCTTAATTACCTTGTACTGCCATATAACCTCAAGTATAACAACCAGTGCAATATTGAATAAAAATAAACATTACTATTTCACTTTTTTGTAATCATTATTACTTACTAAAATTTTATTAAACACCATATTTACTACCAGTCAATTTTACTTTTGTACATTAAACATTATTTTATACTTCCCATAACATTTTGTTGCCAAATTTTCAAGTTTTTATATTCAACCCCAACCTTGTAT